AAGGCAGTCGCTTAACCAACTGAGCCACCCAGGTGCCCTCTACTTAGCATTTCTAAACCATCACCTGATGGACAGTGGGCCAAGGGATGGGGTTACCAGACAGAGGTGAACTTGGAATAAACAAACAGAACAGGTATAAGAACCAAGTCTCAATAGGCACAAAGGCAGAGATCCAGATTCTGAAAATACTCAGCAAGAGAATATTTCTCTGTGGATGGGGGAAGGAAGCTCTGACATATTCATACCAACTCACAGGCCTGTCTGGAAGAGCCAGGGCCCCTTTATTTCCTGGTTACTAACATGGAATTATAATAGAAAGCAAATGAAGAATGGTAGGTTGAACTAGAAGCTCTGCTACCCCACAGTCCACTCGGCACACTACGAATAAATAAACTGTTTCTTGGCTGTGAAGTCCTCATGGGGAAGACAGCCCATGCCCTCTACACTGAAAGCAGCTCTGTGAGTATTTCGTCAATGTTCCTTTTTCTGTCTGCCTTCCCTCTTTTACCCTCCAGCTTTAGGGATGAGGACCACAGCAAAAACACCACCTTCAATAAGCAAAGGTGACCATCCATCCTACTCAGGAAGAGGAAGAGAAAATCGAAGTCTCTTGTTTCTAGCTATTTATATCAATTCTGAATGTTCTTCCCCTCTCTCTTTCATTATTCTCCTTTTATTTCTCTTTCCTTCTCCTTACTGCAGCCCTGAGCGTTCCCTGGGCTTATCTCACCCACCTTCCTCACATTTTGGTAGAACCCAATCTCTCTGTAAAACAGCCTCCCATCATGTGCTAACTAATGCTCTTGTTCCAACTGAAGAACACCAGGAACATTCAGGTGTGGGCCAAGTTCTCTGGGTTGGATGCTGTTCCCTGCCTGTTCCATTACTGCTAATTGTCTGTTACCAAACTCCTGAGAAGTAGCCCAAATGGAAAATGATTTCCCAGCTGGATACCTCTTCCAGGCACATTTCAAGAGTCCATACCACTGCTGCAGAAACACTAACTTTATTTTTCCTTAGTTTTACCTTGAAGTAATGATGCTACACAAATTCAATTTGTTTCCTGAAACTGTGGATAGACAAAGAATTTTCATTTAAGTAAGCCAAGGGATGATTTAATGTGATTTGAAGGTGCCTCGTTAGCGCAATAAGTAGCGCGTCAGTCTCATAATGTGATTTGAAAACATGGCTGTAGATGATCATCTCTGGCAATAGCTTTTCTCCCTTGAGATTCCCTCAAGGACATGCACTGCCTGGAGTACTGTTATGTCCACCCTATGACATCATTTTGAGAGCTTGAGGGAGAAATAATGAAATCACAGATCTAGGTGACAACTTCATGACCATTAACTCTCACACCAGAGCATCCCTAACTAGGTAAAACAGAACCAGGAATCCCTCAGCACTGAGAATCTCCATCAACCAAACAATCCTCTCTTTGTTTGCTTTTCCTCCCTCTAATTATGAATATTGCTTTTAAGACAATAAACAAAGCACATACAGTAAAAGAGCTACGGAGAATGGGAGCCAGAGAGATGAAAGTTACAGCAACCATACAAAGTGGCATTGAGATGAGAGACAAACACATTCTCTATTCAAGTGGTCACAAACCCATTCAGGGAATGCCAAATAGCCTCAAAGGTAACATTCACCACAAATGAGGTGCCGGGGAGGGAGGGGGGGCTTGTGCTGCGGAAAGAGCAAAATTGAAGGAAGGAGAGCGAGATGGGTATTTGTATGGAGGTAACGAAATAAGACCCAGAAGCTAAATAATAAAGGCCGTTTGGTAATTTCTCCATTTGATGTAAATTTCCTCTAATTCCCTTCAGGCTCCTAATTTCCTATTCTTGGAGAGTCTCCTACCCAAATATATACCTGATGATCCCCCACATGAGCTGTACTTGAAATAATTTCTGGGTTTTTTAAAAATAAGTTCCTGTATTTAGTTGGCATTTAAAAAATACCACTGTTTTACCACTGGCTTGTAACAATTCGATTTCTCCTATCCATCCTCCACAATCAGTTTGCTGAGGAGGAAGCCCCTAAGGGCCCTTTGAGCTTGAAATTGTACTGCCACCTAATGTTCATGCCTGAGAACTGCAACAAAATGAGGGGAAAGGCTTTTTGAAATCTGAGGGGAAAGATGAGGACAAATGGGCAAAAGTGGGCAGTAGACACAGGGAAGAAACAGAGATGGTGTTGAAGAAACCAACACTGACCAAGTTCATTCAGCATGAGAACTTGACCATCACACTTTGTTACCTAAAATATGAACATTCCTGGGCACCTGGGTGGCTCAGTTGGTTAAGCGACTGCCTTTGGCTCAGGTCATGATCTCAGGGTCCT